CTCGCTCTTCAAGGACAGGGCCACACAGCCCAGACCTGGACAGCAGGGCCCTGGAGCGTGTGGCAAATAACAAGGGTGCATGTGCATCTACGTGCACGTGAGCACGTGCCTGCGTGTGTGTGAGGGGTGTGGGGTGAGCTCTGCCCCTGAAGGAGCTTGTGCTCATAACCTGGGCACTAACTAATGCTAATTGTGACCCTCTGGGAGATTAGTGGGCCAGTTGGGAGGGAGCAGGCAGGCCCCTAGGCCAGCAGCCTGGAAAGCCGCAGGGCTTGCTTGTCAGCCTGGCAGGGCCCCAAGCCTGTGGGCCCACAGGGGAGTGAGTGGCTTGCTTCCCTCTGAGCCAGACAAGGACAGCGGCTGCCCAGAAGAGGACCAAGGAGGGGCCCTCTAAGGAGCAGAGATTGAGGCTCAGGGGACAGGAGGCCCTGCCTTGCTAAATAGGCACAGCACACACATCTGGGGGCCCAGGTGGGGATGCTCAGGAGCCAGCACTAAGGGGTTCCCAGAGGCAGGTGTGAGCCCTGCAAGGAGAGGATTTTGTCACAGAGCAGCCTGAAGAAGGGAGGAAAGGAGCTCACATCTGGGTGGGGTTGGCGGGGAGGTCCCTGAGAGTGTGCATTTGGCAGAGGGCACGGGAGGGGTCTTGAAACAGGCATCTCAACATTGCACAGGTAGAACTTGGGGTCTGGGAGCCTGGAGCCCTAGGGCAGAAGGTCAGAACTCCAGAGAACTGTTTGAACCAGGGCTCCCCAGTCCTTAGCGCCAGGCAGACCCCCTGTGGCCGCCCTCCCTCCCCTGCAGGACCCCCTCCTCCTCAGGCAGCTGAGCCCTCAGAAGCTGTCAGACCTGTGCAGCAGCAGACGGCTGGGCTCCGAGCGAGGAGGGAGGGGTGGCCCCCAGGCGCTCCCTCTGTCTTGCACAGGCCCAGCCCCCAGGCCTCTCCTCCTGCCCTCTCCCCAACCTGCAGCCTGGGCTGTCCTGCTCTGGGTGAGGCTGGGGACTGGGGATGGGCACTCAGCGCCTTCTCCCCCACTTGTCGGGACCAGGCTGGGGGTGCTGGAGCAGAAGGGCAGGGTGGGCCCCTGTATAAGAGTCCCCCACCCGGCTGGTGGCAGGGAGCCTGCCTGGCCTCTTTTCTGAAGGCGGAAGAATGGAGCCCGAGGCTCCAATGCGGGGGTTTGGCGCGGGCTTCTGGGGCGATAATTGAGAAGTGATTTAGTGTTCCTGGAGCAGCGGCTGTTGCCTGTCACCTGTCACTGCGCAGGCCCTGTGTTCACAGCCACTGTGCAGTCCCTGCCTGGGTGAGGAGGGTGGGGGCTTAGTGTGACCCGCCCCCCCAGCATCTCCACTGTGTTGTCCTGAACTGTCCCTGTGCTCTCTCACAGCCATGTGGTCTTGCCTGGACCATCTATGTCCTGCTTTGCAGCGGGGATGAGGGGGGCTGGGTGGGTGGAGGGTGGGGCTGCAGCATCTGAGTGGGCACCAGGATTCCTCATTAAGGGGTCTGGCCCGAGCCCAGCCCTACCCAGACCCAGTGTGGCAGTGCCGGGCTCATGCCATCACCTGCCTCCATCTTGTCTTTTCTTTCATCCCCCCAGTGCCACCTCCTTCTCTTGGGCTCCCCCTGCTCCAGGAAGGCCTGTCAGTTTGCTGCTGCATGGGGTGGGGGTGGGTTGGGAAGCTGTAGGCTAGCGCAGGCCAGAGGCTCCCGGAACTGTGCCCAGGCCCTCAGGGACCACACAGGCCTGTGAACTGTGTGTGGGGGCATCCGGCCCCTGGTCATTTTAGTGCTGGCTCCCACACTCATGTGTCCAGCTGGCTTATCAGACTGACACCTGTGGGCACAGGCCCCCGCCTGTGGGCCTCCAGACACTCCAGGCCTGCAGTGACCAGCCAAACACACAGCGGGCCGCATGGGCACCTCACACAGCACAGACACCCGGCTCCTGGGATTCCTCAGAGGGAAGACTCCAGGTTAGTCCTGGTTCTCGCAGCTTCTCTGCCTGGCTCCCCCTCCCTGCTCGGTGGTGCCCCTCCGCCCGCCCTTCTCTGTCCGCCCACTTGCCTTTAATTAGAAATACCAGGAGAGCCATTTTGGGGGAGTTTTTGCCAGAAAGACATTCCCCCAGGGGCGGAAGCCCAGAGGGGAAAGGAGGAGACAGACTGGCTCTGAAGGGGGGAGAGGCTCCCTGAGAGAGAAGGGGGACACAGGGAGGGGGGCTCCAAGAGGCGGGCAGGAAGTGGGGATCCCAGTGTGTGGGCTCCCAGGTGTGTGCTCTCAAGTGTGTGAACAGACAGAGGGGCTGGAGGGGCCTAGAGTGGGGGGAATGAGTGGGGGGTATGAGTGTGCCAGTGGGGGTATGAGTGGGGGCTATGAGTGTGCCAGTGGGGGTATGAGTGGGGGGTATGAGTGTGCCAGTGGGGGTATGAGTGGGGGCTATGAGTGTGCCAATTGGGGTATGAGTGGGGGGTATGAGTGTGCCGGTGGGGGTATGAGTGGGGGTTATGAGTGGGGGGTATGAGTAGGGGGGTATGAGTGTGCCGGTGGGGGTATGAGTGGGGGTTATGAGTGGGGGGTATGAGTAGGGGGGTATGAGTGTGCCGGTGGGGGTATGAGTGGGGGTTATGAGTGGGGGGTATGAGTAGGGGGGTATGAGTGTGCCGGTGGGGGTATGAGTGGGGGTTATGAGTGGGGGGTATGAGTAGGGGGGTATGAGTGTGCCGGTGGGGGTATGAGTGGGGGTTATGAGTGGGGGGTATGAGTAGGGGGGTATGAGTGTGCCGGTGGGGGTATGAGTGGGGGTTATGAGTGGGGGGTATGAGTAGGGGGGTATGAGTGTGCCGGTGGGGGTATGAGTGGGGGGTATGAGTGGGGGGTACGAGTGTGCTTTGGGGGTATGACTGGGGTGTGAGCATGCAGTGTGTATGTGTCTAATAAGGAGAGGGAAATTGGCAGGGGACCAGGTGCCCTGACTGGCGTTGACTCTGTGTCCGTGTGCCTCTGACTGTGGGCACTGCTGTGTGTTATCTGTGCCCAGGTAACAGCAGAGGACCCGAGGAGACCCACACCTATCCAGCCAGCGTTGGAGGAACCCAGCATGGTTGCCAGGGAGGCGGGAGGGGCCTCCCTCCGAGGGAATCTCAGCTTCCGGAGCCCCACTCCTTACATGGTGTCGGCTCTTCTCCGCCTCTGCGACTGCACAGCGCTGCCGCCCCGCCCCCGCCCCTCCCCCTTCCTTCCCCTCCCTCTTCTCTCTTTCCTCTCCGTCCCTCCTCCCTTGTCCCTCTTCTGTCCTCAGAAGTCTTGGAGCTTCTGGCCAGGTTCCCGCTAGAGGGGGCGGTTCGGGGCCCAGGACCCTCCCGCTTCTCCACCTCCCCTCCCCACCTCGGGTAGCAGCTTCCAGATTTCCCTGGAGGCAGTAAGTGGAGAAATCTTGGGCCTCACCAAAGCCCTGGGCGTGGGGGCGCTGGGCAGCCCCGTCCAGCCGTTGCCACACGGGCGGGTGTCGCACAACCATACCAATGCACAGAGCAGGGCGGACCCCCCTGGGACCCGGCCCCAAGCCCCACCCGAGGACTCACACCTGGGGGTGGGTGTGTGCGAACCCCGTGACCCCCTCAGCCAGGGGGTCCTCGCCAGGACTCTCCGGTGGCTGAACATGCTGCAAAGCGGACTGGCACAGGCAGGGGCAGTGGGACCGGGGAGGGCAGTGTCCAGGGCCACCGCCCCCTTATGAAAGAGAGCGGTGAGTGGAGGTCAGGAAGCCCCTCCATGCGACCCTGGGGTGCGAGGGGAGTAACCGCCTGCCTGGGCCCCCTCCTGGCACACACCTGCGCCTCTCGCCTGGCGCTGGCGTGGAGGGGGCTCGCTGTCCCCAGCGTGGTCCCCCCTGTCCCCGCAGGCTGAATGAGCCGAGCGGCCCCGGGCGGGGGGCGCGCGGCGGATGAGTCACCCCGGCCCAGCCATGTGCGCAGGGTGGGCCGTCCCTGGCGGCGCGGGGCGGGCGCGAGTGGGCGCGGGGGAGG